ATTCCTGCCTGGAATATCACTGGTTACTGGGAGAGATGGACCCAAAAGACAGAAGAGTACAAAGTGGCTAAGGCTTCTACTGATAAGTCAACCAAGCCTATCCCATGGTGATATGTAACTTCAAATACATGGAGAAATACAGTCCTTCTGTGTGTCCCAAGGGAGGAAGATTCGTGAACAGCTGGCCCTAATGACTATCACAGCCCTGTACAAGGACTGAACTAATGGGAGTATGAAAAATGAAAATGTCAGAAAGAATGGAGATGCAATTGTGCATAAGACTGACTGCAGGCCCTAGAAACTTTATAGCATTTAAATCAGAGAGTCTGATCTGTATTGGAAACGCATACTTAATGCTGACAAAACCAAGGACCTCATGGCTAAATTGCTGGATTACAGGACAAGTCAGTGATTTTAATAGCATTTTGCAACGTCTTCTAAAACTCACGTACACTGGGGTAGCCTCACTCACACAGGTGAGCCAGCCTGGATATCAGCTTAAGGGATGGTGGGTTAATCAGTAATGTCAAATGTATACATCTGCCTTCTGTCTTATGGTAGTTTTTTACAGCTTTCTGGACTATGTGTTCGTTGCTTTTATTTTTCATTAAAAAAAAAAAAACTTGAGTCATATAAAAAATAAAATTCTTTATTCCTGTGTACCCTCCATCCAGCATCAATATATGCCTTCCATTCATCAAGATTATTCTAATGATTGGGGAATTTTGAGATAAACCAGTAATCCTTGGGTTTATATAATCTGATGCTCAGTATAGGGCAAGTCTTGATGTCAAAATACCAAGAGCACCTGAATCCATGCAGTAACAAGAGTCCACAAGGAGACCACCACCAGGTAAGTCCTCTACAGATATTTCTTCAACATGCCAGTTCTTCCAAAAGCCCACTGTCAGTTTTAGGGCTGTTACCTGTTATGATAGGATGCGGAAGTAAACTTGGAGGGGCCTGTACCATGTTGTGAGAAGAAATCATGGAAAACTTTATTCTTTTTAACATGGGCTTGACATGTTTTTGCACCAGCCCCTACAATGCTGATAGTCAGTACAAGGTGAAAAAGATAAAGATTCTGAAGCTCAGAGTAGTCTTTTGTCACTGTTACACTTCCCTTGGACCCCAGACAAGCCATGGCTAGTTGGGAGAGAAGCGATGGGGTCAGCAATATGATCACTAGCTATCTTTCTCACATCATAGTGAAATAGGATTGAGTCACAAATGACAAGATTCCCACTGGGTTTGTCAAGAAAGACATCGTTTATGTAACCTTACATGTTTTTTTTGTTTTGTTTTGTAATGTTTATTTAGAGATAGAGACAGAGTGCGAGAGGGATAGGAGCAGAGAGAAAGACAGAATCCTAAACAGGCTCCAGGCTCTGAGCTGTTAGCAGAGAGCCCAATGTGGGGCTCAAACCTACAAACAGTGAGCTCAAGACCTGAGCCTAAGTGGGACGCTTAACTGACGAAGCCACCCAGGCATCCAGATGCTTTAGATGTTTTAATGATAGTTTAGGTTTAGAATTAAAATTTGAGAGAGTAGTGAGAATAGCATTGCTATACTTTGGTTGGTCCCTGATAGTAGTTCTTTCCCTGCAAATGGGGTTTGACTGACAGAGCGAGCAAGGATGAGGAGAGATGAGTCACATATTTTCCACCTTTGTGGTGAGGAGGATCTTCCTCTACAAGAGACCCCTTTTAATATTTCGAACATAGCAAGGGAAAGTTGGGAAGTACTTATCTCACTGTAGGTACAGTGACTTTCCTATTGGAAAAGTGGTTTGGGGTGGGACCTTGGGTGTATGAAGAGTCTTCATTCATTAAAATGCTTCTGGGGCTCACAGGTAAGAATCTCTCTCTTCAAAAGAATAGTGCTCTTGTCAATTTCTCAGGCTTTACACTTGAGACAATGGAGAGCTTCCAGTCATTCCTGAACAAAGCCTTTGGGAAGGCAGACAGTAGAATGGTAGTATTTATTTTGCTGGCTATAATATCACATTGTAGTTGACATGTCACTATCACCCTTCGCACTCTCAAGATTTGCAAACCTTCCCCATGTGCAAGACTGTTAGTTCCTGGGTTTGGGATAGAAAGTCTGTCCCTGGGATTAATGTGAGCCCTTCTGACTTTTCTCTTGCTATATTGTACCGCTTATGGTAGGGATACCACCCAGTTTACGTTGCTTATTGAAAACCTAGAGATGGAGGATTTACGCCCTTTACAAAGGCTGTTTGGGGTTGTGTGACCAGTGAGTATAAAAGACCCCTGAGTAAACTTGTGCCTTGATTTCCCTGGAACTGAGATACTTCACATATGTGTTGGGGACTTATGGTTTAGAGACCGTGTTCTGTGAATGAAAAAGATCCCTGGGATCTGTGGCTGCATGTTGCAGGGCACCTTGAGGTTTACCTGCTTTATTTTTTCTCAGGCTATGTTGTAGCTTTTGTCTTTATTGGAGTCTTATGTAAATGTAAGTCATGGAGCTGTGGGAGTCCATTCAATCACCTTAAACTGGGTACCTGCTGTAGTTGCACTTCCTCCATCTTAATGTAAAACAATGTCCTTGGAAAGGAAACCTACTTTGGTTTAAGCTCATTGTATCTTTTTTTTTTTTTTTTAGTATTTTTAAAAAAATGTTTATTTTAGAGAGAGAGAGGGAGACACAGAATCTGCAGCAGGCTCCAGCTCTGAGCTGTCAGCACAGAGCCCGACACGGGGCTCGAACCCACGAATCATGAGATCATGACCTGAGCCAAAGTCAGACGTTTAACTGACTGAGCCAAGGTGCCCCAAGCTCATTGTATCTTAGAGTTTAATTCCCATTAGGAGGTGCCTGGGTGGCTCCAGTTGGTTGAGCATCTGACTCATGATATCAGTTCAGGTCATGATCTCACCGTCAATGAAATCGAGTTCCACAGTGGGCTCCATGATGACAGTGTGGAGCCTGCTTGGGATGCTGTCTCTCCCTCTCTCTCTGCCCCTTCCCAGCTCGCGCGGTCTTTCAAAATAAACATTTTTTACGAAGAAAATAACTTATGACACTTTACAGCTACATTCTAGGGAGGGATTGATTAATAACACCTCTAAAGTTTCACATACACTCTTTCAAAAGGGAAGCATACCTTGTACAGTGTAGGGAAAATAGAAGCCTATTTTATTCGATTATGGAAACAAGTTACATTGTCCAAACAAGCAATACCAGGACCAAAGCTAGTATTTAATTACTGTCTCTAATATCAGGGACTATCTCTCAAACTGTTTAAAATTCACAGGGGTATACAGCTTGGGAGTACTCATCATCTTCCAACCCTAAATATCTGATCAGCTTAGAAAAAAACAAAATTCTTTATTGAAGATACTTCTGTATTTCATCCAATCTAAAATACCTTTGATTGTGTGATGCACCATTATTTTATGTACTAAGTTCTCTATTTAAATATGTCAAACCATAGGGGCTCATGGGTGGCTCAGTCGGTTAACCGTCTGACTTGAGCTCAGGTCATGATCTCGCAGTTCACTAATTTGAGTTCTTATCGGACTTTGTGTTGACAGCTCAGAGCCTGGATCCTGCTTTGGATTCTGTGTCTGCCCCTTCCCCACTCACACTCTACTTCTCTCTCAAAAATAAAAACATTAAAAAATTTAAATATGTTGGGGCGCCTAAATGGCTCAGTTGGTTAAGTGACCGACTTCGGTTCAGGTCATGATCTCATGGTTCGTAGTTTGAGCCACACTTTGGGCTCTGTGCTGAAAGTTTGGAGTCTGCTTTGAATTCTCTGTCTCCTTCTCTTTCTGCCCCTCCCCTGCTCATGCTCTATCTCTGTCTCTCTCTCAAAAATAAACATATAAAATGTTTTTAATTTAAAAATGTCGGGGCGCCTGGGTGGCTCAGTTGGTTAAATGCCGACTTCTGCTCAGGTCGTGATCTCTCAGTTGGTGAGTTTGAGCCCCACGTTGGGCTCTGTGCTGACAGCTCAGAGCCTGGAGCCTGCTTCAGATTCTGTGTCTCCCTCTCTCTCTGCTCCTCCCCCACTCATGCTGTCTCTCTCTCGCTCAAAAATAATAAACATTAAAAAAATTATTTTTGAATAAAAAAATAAAAATGTCAAACCATCAACTGTAGATGCTCCATTCTAACATCATTTTTAATTAGGTGGGGAAAAAATTTCTATCTTGGAATTGATGAAAATATGTTTTACTCAAGAAACATTCAAAATCTTCCAGCCCCATTTACAAATACCAGCAAATGGTGGGGTGGCAGAGGAGGAGATAGTCAGTATTTTATTAAGATTTCTTACTAAAGTAATGAACCATGTAGTTCAATTACAACGTATGTAATGATATAAAAATTCAGTGCAAATACTCTATTGGCAAGTTTTGTGTACGTTTAAGTATGTGTACTAGGGAGTCCCAATTGTGATACTAACACATACAATTCCTAATTATGAACAATCATTTTAAGAGTAAAAATAGATGTAAAACCCATATTCTTACATAGTTTGGATATAATTTTTCTCTATTTTCTGACAAGTATATTTACATACTTAATACTTTCCATAATTGTTTATTATGTCACAGTTACAGAATATGACATCCCTCATAAAATGACACCCATGAAAGATGATTCCTCAGATTCATAGAATTTTTTCCCTCAGTGTCAATTCTCTAATTATCAGTGTAGCAAGATTTCATGCCAACAACATTCTCACAATCAATACACACACACACAGATCTTCCCTATTTGTTCCCTCTGGGCTACATTCAGCTGACATGTATTGGGGAAGGGGTTTCCTGCTGTCTGGCATTCTACCCAGTACAATTCTCTTATAGGCGATGAGGTGTGAGTTTGGGGGGAAAAAAAAGGCACGTCTACATTGGTAGCTTTTAGGTTTTCTCCATGTAAACCCTGGTGTAATGAGCCATGCACTCTTCAATGACGAGTCTTGGATATTTATTCATGATTTCTCTCCTCTATGAGTTAGTTTTCTGATGTAAAATGAGGCTGAATTTGTGGGAGAAAGTTTTCCAACAGTCACTGCATCCATAAGGTTTCTCTCCTGTGTGAGTTCTTTGATGAATAATAAGATGTGACTTCTGGGCAAAACATTTCTGACATTCGCTGCATTCGTGGGGTTTCTCTCCTGTATGTGTTTTCTGATGCAGAATGAGGCTGAACTTGATAGGAAACATTTTCCCACATTCACTGCATCCATAGGGTTTCTCTCCTGTATGGACTCTCTGATGAATAATAAGGCTAAATTGTGAGAGAAAGTCTTCCCACACTGGAGGCATTCATAAGGTTTCTCTCCTGAGTGAATTCTCTGGTGAATGAGGAGATAGGACTTTCGGCTGAAGGCTCTGTGGCATTCACTGCACTCATAAGGTTTCTCTCCAGTGTGAGACCTCTGATGAATAGTGAGGTGTGACTTTTGGGTGAAAGCTTTCTGACACTGACTGCATTCATAAGGTTTCTCACCCGTATGTGTTCTTTGATGGAGGATGAGACTAAACTTGATGGAGAACGTTTTTCCACATTCATTGCACGCGTAGGGTTTCTCTCCTGTATGAGTTCTCCAGTGAGTATTGAGGAGTGACTTTACACTGAAGCCTTTTCCACACTCACTGCAATGATAAGGTTTCTCTCCTGTGTGAGTTCTCTGATGTCTAATGAGCTCAGATCTCTGGATGAAGGCTTTTCCACAGTCACTGCATCCATAAGGTTTTTCCCCTGTATGAGTTTTTTTATGTAAAATGAGGCTAAACTTAAGGGGGAATGTCTTCCCACAGTCGTCACAACCATAAGGTTTCTCTCCTGTGTGAGATCTCTGATGAATAATGAGCTGTGACTTGTTGCTGAAGCTCTTCTCACACTCACCACACCTGTAGGGCTTCTCTCCTGTATGAGCTCTTTGATGTGAGGTGAGTTGTGACTTATCACTGAAGCTTTTCTGACATACACGACACTCAAACCATTTCTCTCCCGTGTGCGTTCTCTGGTGTTTATTAAGGCATGACTTATCCGTAAAAGCTTTCCCACATTTATTGCATTCGTAAGGTTTCTCTCCTGTGTGGGTTCTCTGATGTAAAATGAGGTGGGACTTCAGGCTGAAGGCTTTCTCACATCTACTGCAACCATAGGGCTTCTCTCCTGTGTGTGTTCTCTGATGCTTAACGAGGTCTGACTTCTGGGAAAAGACTCTCCCGCAGTCACTGCAGTTATACTGTTTCTCTCCTGCTCGAGTCTTCCAAAGTTTAATAAGGTGTGACTCGTGGCTGAAAGCCTTTAAATGTTCATTAAATTCATTGTATTTTTCTCCAGTATGAATTTTCTCAGGCTTGGTAAAAAGAACTACTTGGTCGTAGCCATTAAATTCCACTTCGTTTCTTGCATAGCTGTTATTCTGAAGAGTGTACTCTACATTAGGTTTCAGATGTTTCCCAAGTATGTCAAATGTATGGGATCTTTGTGCTAAAGGGATATCAAAGTTTAAGCTTAGAGACAATATTTTTCTAAATGGATTATTTATGTGGTGACTCTCCATAATTTCAAGGTTGCCTTGGTTTTCTTGGTGCCAGTCTGTGTCCGTGTCCACTTGCCAGGTGTCGTCTAGAAAGGAGACCAATGAACCACAATGAGCATGTAATAGAAGGAGTGGAATTTCATAGCAAAGGCCAAGCAGGGAAGAGGAAATGAGACTGGGTATATAGTGAAAGTCTGAGACATTTGTAAGTGGAAGGAGAAAAAAATGGAATAAACTAGAAAATGAGGAGAAGAGGGACAATTTACGAATGCTGAGTATATGAGAAAAGAAAGCTATAACCGTGGGTTAGGCAGACAAAGAGGAGAAGGCAGGTAAACTGAGGATGCCAAGGAGAAAGATTAATTAGGACAGCAAGTTCCAAGATAAACTAGAGTAGGATCTAATCCGAATACAGAAGAGAAGGAAATGTATTATTTTATTTTTATTTTTTTAAAACTTTTCTTTTTAAAGTAGGCTCCATGCCCAACACATAGTTTGAACTCATGACCCTGCGATCAAGTCGCACACTCTACCAAATGAGCCAGCCAGGTGCCCCCAGAAGTGTATTCTTTTAAAAAATAAGCAAGGGGCGCCTGGGTGGCTCAGTTGGTTAAGCGTCCCACTTTGGCTCAGGTCATGATCTTGCAGTTCGTGGGTTCGAGCCCCGCATCGGGCTCTGTGCTGACAGCTCAGAGCCTGGAGCCTGTTTCAGATTCTGTACCTCTCTTTCTCTCTGACCCTCCCCTGCTCACACTGTCTCTCTCTCTCTCAGAAATAAATAAAAAACATTTAAAAAATAAAATAAATAAAAACTAAGCAAAAGGGGCTCCTGGATGGTTCAGTCGGTTAAACATCCAACTCTTGGTTTTGGCTCAGGTCATTATCTCATGGTTCATGAGACTGAGACACATGTTGGACTCCGTGCTCATGATGTGAAGCCTGCTTGCGATTCTCACTCTCTCCCTCCCTCTCTGCCCCTCTCCTACTCACGCACACTCTCTTACTTTCTCAAAATAAGTAAACATTAAAAATAAATAAATAAAAACCAAGTGAAAGAATCCTAATAAGGAGAGATTTAAAAAGTAGAGTCAAGGGGCGTCTGGATGGCTTAGTTGGTTGAGCACCAGACTTCAGCTCATGTCATGATCTCACGGGTAGTAGGTTCGAGCCTCACATTGGGCTCTGTGCTGACAGGTCAAAGCCTGGAGCCTGCTTCAGTTTCTGTGCCTCCCTTTCTCTCTGCCCCTCCCCAATCATGCTCTCTGTGTGTCTCTCTCTCAAAAATAAATAAACATTTAAAAAAATAGTTACAAACTGAGAGGGAGGGAGGCAAACCATAAGAGACTCTTAAATACAGAGAACAAACTGAGGGTTGATGGGGGGTGGGGGAGGGGAAAATGGGTGATGGGCATTGAGGAGGGCACATGTTGGGATGAGCACTGGGTGTTGTATGTAAGTGATGAATCATGGGAACCTACCCCAAAACCAAGAGCAAACTGTATACGTTGTATGTTAGCCAACTTCACAATTATGTTTAAAAAAAAATAATGAGATAAACAAAAAAAAATCTTTTAAAAGTAGAGTCAATATTAATGTATGTGGGAGCTTATGTCCCTGTTCTAAGTCACACTCAGAGCTTAAAAACTTCAAGAAGACTTCTCTGAACAACAGGTACCTCCCCGTTTCTGACCAAATAGAAATTTACTTCCATTTATGCCCCAGGGTTAGCTTCTCACTCACCTGGATAAATCTGACTCTGAATTTCTTCCTCTGTTATCCATGGTGGTCCTTGTTCCAACTGGTAAAATGCATCTGCTTTGGTAACTTGATACCCTACTCAAGGAAAATTATAGCAGATCCATGGATCCACATACTTGGGCTTATAAGGCCTCTGAAAAACGGGGAAGGTTATTAAGGGCCTGAACAATTTGCCTCTTAGCCAAGTAAAGTCCTTTTACTCTGGGAGCGAGAGAAAATCACTCTGTTAGAGGCCAGAATGTGCTAAAATCTATGATGTATGAAACTCAAGTTCAAAAATGTAAGGTATTTGGTAAGGCTCCACACATTTCATTGCTGAGAAAAGAAAGGCGACTGGTAGCCTGCATTACCCTGGGAAGGCCCTGCTTACCCACTGATACTAGGTTGCTATAATTTTCCAACATCACATCTTGATACAGGTTCCTCTGAATGGGGTCCAGTAGCTGCCACTCCTCCCACGTGAAAACCACAGCCACATCCTTCAATGACAGTGAGTGAGACCTGCAACAGAAAATTCCTATTCATTCTAAAGGGATTATCACTGTAATTATTATTACTATGAAGATAAGCATCATATTTCCTAATATTTCCTACAGTAAGTCATTTGCCTTCTTTATGACTAGTTTTGCATTATATTTTGTAGGAAAAATTAGTTTTTTACTTAAAATATCCTATCTTTGCAGTGGCTCAGTTGGTTAAGCGCCCGACTTTGGCTCAGGTCACCATCTCCCAGTTCACGGATTCAAGGCCTTTATTGGGCTCTACTGACAGCTCAGAGCCTGGAACCTGCTTCGGATTCTGTGTCTCCCTTTGTCTCTGCCCCTTCCCTGCTCACGCTCTGTCTCTCTCTCTCTCTCAAAAATAAACAAACATTAGAAAAAAATTTTAAATATCCTATTTTTGTGCTTCCAATCATTCATGATGTTCATATTCACTCTGTTACAAGAGACATAGACTAGAGCTTCCTCAAATCCTTTAATCTAGGAACCACCTGCAACCTATGTGAATGCACCTCTATGTCAGATACTTCACTGGATATTCCTTTGTACGGAAGACTCGCCTCTACCTTGAAGAAGCAAACTAGCTTGCAGAGAGAGGAATGTAAGTGCACAAGACTACAATACATTATAGAGGGCAAGAAAGAAATACATACCATGTGGGCACCAATGGGGAACAGAAAAATTATAAAGGTTGAACTTTAGAGGATTAAGGAGACAGGTGCATATAATTCAAGAAAGAAGTAACGTGAGGGGTGCCTGGGTGGCTCAGTTGGTTGAGTGTCTGACTTAGGCTCAGGTCATGACCCCACAGTTCCTGATTTCGAGCCCCATATGGGCTCTGCTGTCACAGTGGAGCCTGCTTTGGATTCTTTGTCCTCCTCCATCTCTGCCCCTCCCCTGCTTATGCACGCTCTCTCTCTCTCCCAAAACTACACAGTAAAATAAAACAAGAAAGAAAACAAGAGTTCATGCTGTAACATGAATGACAGCACAATCAAAAGCCATATGCATTTATTTTTTATTTATTTTTTTTAATGTTTTATTTATTTCTAGGAGAGAGAGAGACAGTGTGAGCAGGGGAGGGTCAGAGAGAGAGGGAGTCACAGACTGAAATATTGCATTTTAAAGAATCAGTCTAATTGGGAAAAAAAAATTGGAAAGAGTCTGTTAAAAATATTTTAGATATTCATAAATCCTAATCATTCAATATCCATATCCTATTATGATTTGAGTATACATGAGGTAATTTTGGCTAATGATTTTATGTCCCAAGTTTCATCATTTCTATTCTGGTAGAGTGATGAAAAGGTCAAGGAAAAAGTATATAACTTTTGAGGAATAGAGGGATTTAAGATAAAGGGTCTCTATTAANGTCACAGACTGAAACAGGCTCCAGGCTCTGAGCTGGCAGTCAGCACAGAGCCTGACGCGGGGCCCGAACCCACGAACCGCGAGATCATGACCTAAGCGAAAGTCGGACGCTTAACCGACTAAGCCACCCAGGCGCCCCAAAAGCCATATGCATTTAAAATACCACAAATACATTTCTTCCTAAGCTGTGACACCAAATGAGTGAATTTACAGCAGGTAGAGCACACTGTAAGCACTCAAAAAAAAATGTTCATGTAATATTTTTTGTTACTGAAATGTAGATAGGGATGGACTTCCAAGGTACTGGCTTAAGTGCCCTCAATCAGTTACAAAAAAAGTACATGAACTGTAATCTCAATTATGACAATGGGCTATTAGGTTCTGTGCAGAAAAGGGCTGACTCAGCAGGCCGGGGCTGCCCAAACCTTGCACACTCCAAAGAAAGGCCTGTCTTCAGGAAGGCCAGCTGTTGATTTGCTCCTGGGTGACAGATAACCTCTGAACCCCTGAAATATCCTGCCCAATACAGGTGCTTCCACATTCTTGAGCCCTATCAGTTTGAATTTGGGGGCCCTGGAGACTGAGTAGCTGAGGTCAGTCACGTATGGTGAATGCCTGTGTTGACTGACTCTCAATACAACCCTGGACACCAAGCTGCAGGTGAGCCCCACTGTATGGCAACTCTTCCCACCTGTTGCTACACATCATCGCAGGGGGAATTAAGCGCTATTCAAGCTACTCCACTGGGCGAGCACAGCTGGAGGCTAGTGTCTGGTCTCTCCTGGATGCTACTCTGTACCTTTTGCCTTTGCTGATTTTACTTTAAAAAAAATTTTTTTAAGTGGGCTCCACACCCAGACTTGAGCCCAATGCAGAACTTGAACTCATGACCCTGAAATCAAGACTCAGATGCTTAATTAAAATAGAAAAATTAAGAGTTGGGTATTAACCAATTGAGCTAAGCAGGTACCCCTGCCTTTGCTGATTTTAATCTGTATTTTTTCACTGTAATAATCCACAACTGTGAGTATAACAGGTTTTTTGAGTCCTTTTGAGTTCTTCTGGAGAATCATCAAGACAAAGGGTGGGCCAAGGACCACCAACTCAAATATATACAAATTCATAGTTATATATGTAAATGCTGACAGAGAAAGCCAAAACAATACATATAACTTTTTAGATTATTTATCTTGAGGGTGGTGAAAAAGGATCAATGAGGGACTTAAGAGTTTAGCTTTATTTTTTTTAACTTTTTAATGTTTTATTTATTTTTGAGAGAGAGAGAGAGAGACAGCATGAGCAGGGGAGGGTCAGAGAGAGAGGGAGATACAGAATTGGAAGACAGGCTCCAGACTTTGAGCTAGCTGTCAGCACAGAGCCCGACGCGGGGTTCGAACCCATGAACCATGAGATCATGACCTGAGCTAAAGTCAGAGGCTTAGCCGACTAAGCCACACAGGTGCCCTGAGTTTAGCTCTAGAAACTTCTGTACTATTTGAAACTTTAGACATTGAGACTATTTTAAGCTTTACTGATATAATTGGAAAATTTTTTAAATAGAATAAATAAACTATGGACTGAGAGTTGACACCTGTATTTTGGGTAGTGAAAGGATTATGAAGGAAACACTCTAAGACTTTGCTAATAGATTGAGGATTCTCAACCCCAACCCTACTGACATTTTGGGCTGGATAACTTTTTGTGATGGAGGCCTGTACTGTGTGTTGTAGGATGTTTTACAGCATCCCTGGACTCTATTTACTAGATCCCATTAACAGTTATGACAATAAAAAATGTCCCAGAGGGCCACCTGGGTGGCTCAGTCAGTTAAGTGTCAGACTCTTGATTTTGGCTCAGGTTATGATCTCACAGTTCATGGGATGAAGCCCCACATTGGACTCTGCAGCTGGCAGTGCGGAACCTGCTTGGGATTCTCTCTCTCCCTCTCTACCCCTCCCCCACTCATGATGTCTCCGTCTCTCTCAAAATAAATAAATAAACCTAAAAAAAATGTCCCAGACATTGTCAAATGTCCCCTGGGGAGACAAAATCATCCTGAGTTGAGAACCACAGATTTAAAGAAAAAACTGAATTTTGAGGGCTGTTTGTGGGAAACCAAATGACGCTCTCAGAATCCATCCATTCTTGTTGATAATCTAGTTGTTATCACTGAACAAAGTCAGATCACCAGGAGGCTGTGGACTTGAGCTATATGGTTTTGAAACCCTGAAGCACTCTGATCACTGAGTTCAGCTCTGGCATAACACCACTGGCTTATCTGCAGATGGCTGAGAAATAATCAAAGGAAACTCACTGCTTTATTAGTGGTTTGCTATACGTAGAGGGCACTGAGCACTAAGCAATCTAACCTAAATACCCACCAAAGAAATTTCTTCCTACTTATGTGACAGGAACTATCTACTTTTTTAGAGGAGGTTTCTCCTTAAGGCAAGGCAAATCACCAATGATTTTTTTAAGGTAATTTATTTTGAGAGAGTGCACAAAGATGAGCAGGGGAAGGGCCTAGGGAAGGAAAAGGGGGGGGGGGAGAGAGACAGAGAGATAGAGAGACAGAGAGAGGGAGAATCCCAAGCAGGCTCCTTGCTGTCAGCACAGAACCTGACTCAGATCTTGATCTCATGAACAGAGAGCTCATGACCTGATCATGACCAGCTTGACTGACTGATCCACCCAGGTGCCCATACCAACAATTTTTTTTATTGACAGCTATGCAGATTATATTTCCCAAAAATGACCACAATAGTATGTTCCATTCCAAAACCTTCTGCAACATGACCTTGCTACTTACCCCCGTCAAGAGGATGAACCTATTCCCTTCCCCTTGAATCTAGTTTGTCTTAGGGTCTTGCTTGTAGCAAAGGGTTTGCAGCAGAAGTGATGATGCAGAAAGGGCCATGTAGTTTCAGTCTGGTTCTGTCAGAATCTAGCATCATTCTCTGAGAAGCCTGAGCCACCTTGGGAGGTCATGCATAAATACTCCAACAGCCCCAGCTCAGCCTAGTGTTTTGAGTCATGACTTCCGGGAAAACAGATACGGGAATGAAGAAGCCTTCAGAGGATTCCAGTCCCCAACCTTTGAAACTTCCCAGCCGAGGTTCCAGACATCATGGTGGGGAGACAAACTGTGCAATAAAGGAGTAACATAGCACTCTGGGTTGTCCACACCCTGCACATGCCAAAGAAAGGTTTGATCCTTACCTGTTCATAAGAAGTAATCTCTGAGCCCTTGAAATATCTTTACCTGAGAGCCCTGGGCTGCACCAGATGATCTATGCTATCAATGTGATTCATGGTGGGGGCCTTGGGCCACACTGTAGCAGTTTGACTGAAAGGGCTGGAGATTAAAGTCAGCCATTGATGTAGTCAGTGTTACCTATATGACCGACTCAAATAAAAACCCTGCATGGCGCCTGGGTGTCTCAGTTGGTTAGGTGTCCAACTCTTGATTTGGACTCAGGTCATGATCTCAGGGTTGTGAGATCGAGCCCCAGGTCAATCTTGAGATTCTCTCTCCCTCTCCTTTGACCCCTCCCCCCCTGCTCTTGCGCATCTCTCTCTCTCTCTCTCTCTCTCCAAAAACCCCAAACCCTGGAAACTAAGGCATGAGTAAGCTTCCCTGATTAGCAATACTCAATGTGTTGGTACAAATCACTGCTGGGAAAATTCAACACTGCTCATTTGACTCCACAGAGAGAGAAAAACTGGAAGCTTTTGCCTAGTGTCTCCTGGATCTGACCTTATAAAGACTTTCTCTGTGGCTGATTTTAATCTGTATCCTTTTGCTGTAATAAATTATAATCGCGAGTATAACAATGTTTCTGAGCACTCTGAATTCTTCTAGCAAATCATTGAACCTGAGGGTGGTCTTGGGAACTCGTGAACATGTTAAGGAACCACCAG